ACCCACTTCCAATTTCTTGAAAGTGGAGAAATTCAATTCCCCAAAGTTAAGCAAAACTTGTCTCGATACTTAGACTCAAAATTAGACTATGATATGATAAAATTTGATTCCTAACAGAATGTTCAAAAATGTATTTATAGTCGCCAAAATTGTGCTACGAAGAACCACTCGGCGTAGTAAGTCGGGATTGCCAATCCACTCGGCGATCCACCCTCTGGTAAATTCCATCGCCCTTCTCTCTTGGCCTTCAGCATTGTTTGGGTCTGTAACTTTGGGCGATCTAGCACTGCATCGCAGAACTACTCGGTGCTCTGCCGACTACTTCTTTCCTTACGGGCTTGGCACACTGGAACAAAAGGCGGAGTAATGGCCATACGGCGACTCGCCAAAGGGTGTTGGCAATCATTGACTTCACGTATTAGGACACTACTTCTAGTTCAAGTGCTAACGATCGCGAGAAGTAATATAACCCAACCAAGGGTTGGGATCGTTCCCAAAGGAAGTGGTTTCGAGAATTAATAGCCAAGTACAAATCAGTTCAAGTTACTCATACCTATAAGACATTTATGAATAAAATCATATCAAATTAGGATTGACACAAGTATTAAATATCGAAAGGGGGGGTTTATAGTAAATTATCAACTAAAATAGTAAATACATGAAAATACAAATGTGGAGACGGGATTCTTGGGATGTGATAGGATTATTGGCTAAGATAAACAACCGGGTAATAGTGATTAATAGTAAATAGTTGCATATTAGTGATTAGGCTAGACTTTAGTGGGGTAAACTCTCTCATGAGCAATTTACCCCGAATCAAATTGGATTCTCTCGAACAACAATAAGCGGCAATTAAGCACTGCTTTCGCCTTAGTCTATTCACTCTCTCAAGCTCAATGTGTGGAAGAGGATTTAGGATTCACTCTCTCGAGCTGAACCCATGAAAACCTACTACCCACAGACCATCGATTCAGTAGTTTTGGTTTCAAAACCTCTCTCTCGAGCAAGCTAAAAACACTAAGCTAAGATTGTATTTGCAACTACAACCCATTAAATTCAACCACAACCACTGAATGAAATCACTTTTAAACAGAAAATAAACTATCAACACTATACCATTTTAGGACTACAGCCACACTAATTCTGGACAACGCTTGTAAAGTGTTGCCTAAAATATTTTTGGGGACGCTTTCAAAGAGTAGCCCAAGTTTTTAACTTTTAGCTACACTTTATATTGACAACAATTAAACAGTGTATCTTTAATGGTATAAGCTACACTTTATAAGTGTTGTTACAATATGATATAATTGACAACAACTATTAACATATATGGCCACACTTTTAAAGTGTCCTATTTATATAATTGTAAAAACAACACATTAGAAGTGTGGCCTTAAAATTTTCACTAAAATATTACATTCCCTCCAACATTTTTAACTCTCCCTCCCATTTTTATTGGCCAAAAAAAATTCAGAAAACATTAATTTTAATAAAATACATAAAACATTTGTGAGAAAAACACGCTTGAGTTCTCTCTTTTTCGGAAGAACTGAGCTGAAGAGTTGAAGAACTGAGCTGAAGAACTGAATAGCTGAAGAAATGAAGTCAAAGAACTAATAACGATAACGATTTCGTCAAGCGTGAGTTCGATTCTCTTCTCCGATAATAATTTTGTCAAGCGTGAGTTCGATTCACTATTCCGGAAGTACTAAAAATAGTCTTCTTGTTATTGATTGATTTTTTGTTTTGTGTTTAGAAGAGGAGAATAAGAAGGAATTGATTACTTTGGGGTTGTTGGCAAGATGAATTGAAGCTAGAACACGATTTCAGACAGATTTCTAGCTGAAGAGCTCAACAGCTTAAGAACTCTCACTGAAGGACACGATTTACATCATAGTTCTCGCTGAAAATAGGATTTTGTTGGAGTAGGGTTTATCAGGTAACAAATTCTATCTTTCAAAGTCTAAATTTTAGCTTTAGGGTTTTGATATTCTTGTGTTTTTGATACAATTTTTGGGAGTGTAGCTCGTATTTTAGCTTCATCAGTTGATTTTTGGGAGTGTAGCTCGTAATCACTAAATAAGTATAAGTGGGCTGATTCTCCACTTGAGAATTTCTTTTTTATTAGGCATATAAGCCGATTAGGGATGAAATAGTCCAGAAGTTTGAATTCATGTAATCGATTTTGAATTCTTACAGTGAATATGCCTTGAGTTCAAACAAGTAGCTAACCAATACATTACATGTTAGTTTAGAAGTTTGATTCTTCACTTCATGTAATCGATTTAGAAAAGTGAAGTTTGCTCATACTTAGATGCTTCGTTCCAGTATCTAAAGTGTACACCAAAAAAAGTACAGGAATTACTCGATATAACCTAGTACTTATTATTTTTTTTAGTTGAACGACCCTTGGTGGGGTCAGGGGCTTAGCAACACCCCCATGCCTTATCATTAATAACAAAATAAAAAATATACAAGGAGGGGGACTTAAACCTTACCTCCGATCCTATGGTGAGTCAAGAGTCGACCTACCTAATAAGGTTAGTCAACTCATCCTCATACTATAAAAGTGTAAACCTAGCACTATGCACCTTAAGGAAAGGACTCTTCTCAATACAATTATACTAGGAAAACATAAATAAGGGAGACTCTCCCCTTACAATAATAGAAGAATTATAAAAAAAAAAAAAGACCTATTCTAAAAATGGCATTTGACAGAAACATAGAAAAACATGTTTCAGCTCACAAGCAAGTAGACTGTTTATCAACAAATAAACATCACTAATCCAAAACAGCCATATGATATCATTATTAGTAGTGTGAGTCTTTTCCATAGTCAAATGAATCACAAGCCTCTGCTTCTAGCTCTAGTGAGTGGTCTGCTTCTAGCTCTAGTGGTGTTGTGCCTTGTTTCTTTCCTTCCTCTTGGAGATAGTCCTTGTTGCCTTTTGATTTCTTGGATTTCCTCCTCATAATCAGTTTGAAAAGTGGCCCCAAAAGTTATAGTGATCTCATCCTCTTCATCATCATTATCATCTAAAGATTGAGTATCTTTATCATACTCATCTTTAGAATTTGGAACCCCATATTCATTATAGTCCTCAACCTCTTCCTTCTGTCCCTGCTATTTATTTTCAGTTTCCATTTCCTTTTGTTGCCTTTTTTTAATAGCATTTGTTCTTTTTTTGCTCAGTCTGGCCTGGAATTTACTGTTACTAGGCTGAGTAGGAGTGTTCCCTGCATCTTTCTGAGGAATCTGACTATGCAGTCCCTCTTTCTCTTGTTGTCTAGCACTGGTTCCAGCATAAGGATTTTCCTTACCTAAGCCCTGTAAACTCTTCCCAATATCAAGCTGGTGGGATGCCTGATGCTTACTTCCATGATGTATATAGGAACTTGAAGCTGGTCTGTACTTTCGCCCTCCTGCAAAACTTTAGGCAAATCCCTCCTTTTGGTTTCTCCTTCCTGCATATTAGTTTCTGTGTCTTTCATCCCTCCAGAAACTCCATCATAACCTCAACAGTCTCACCAGAAATAACAGTGGGGTTATGGGGTAAGGGGAGACTTAAATCAATAATAGATTCAATGTTACTGGAAATTCCTGCATTTTGATTCTTTTGGGTGTTGTTCATTTGAACTACTTGTTGAATTAGCTAGCTTACCTGGATCCTGTGATGTTTGATCCTCCTTGGTTAATGTCTTATTGTTGGTATCCAGACCATATAGGCTGTTTGTAACATGTTCCTGCACATCTAAACTAGTAAAATTATTGTGAGTAGGAACATTGAGTGTCATACCTGCCTGAGATGGATTTTGTTGATTCTCCATGCCTTCTTTATGCTGGAAGTCTGTAGGTTTCCACACAGTCTTAGGGTTGGCCTGTTCTTGATGCTTATTTTGCTTCTTCTTTTGTGTCTGCCACTGATCCCCTTGGTCATGTGATTTCTTCCCCTGCTGCATTTTTGAAGTATCCTTGACTGTGTTATTCACCTGCTGCAATTTTCTTATAAGTTGATTGTCCTTCATTTCATTTTCTCCTTTGATTCTACTTTTTTTTCTTGCACTTCAATAGCTAGTAAAACAGACCCACCTTTTAGCATTTCTTCCTTTTTTTCCCAATCAGCAATCAAAACCTTCCATGTGTTCTCCATTTCTCATATGCTTACCCACCAAGGGCTTTACAAAACTAGTATCAAAATGTGGAGAAGCTGAAAAACTCACAAAACATTCACCACAAAAGGGAAGGATAAAAAAATACCTTTTTTCATGTATCACTGATACAACAGTTTTGAAATTCTCTATGTATTAGCGATACAAGAGTTTCTGAAGTTCGTTCTGTATCACTAATACAACAATTCGCTTTGTATTTGTTGTTGTATCAATGATATAGAGAAAATTTAAAAAACTGTTATGTCACTAATACAATGTGAAATTTGGAAACTGTTGTATTACTAAGACAACAAATTAAAAAAATTATTGTATTACTAATACAAAGCGACTTTCATAAGATGTTGATCGATTATCTATTTAGGATCATAGGAATGTTTGCTTGAATGTTCAAAAATGGTATTAGATGTTTGATACTTTTTTGATTGGGTGTACACAAGAATGATATTTTAAAATTTTGGACTTAGTTTTAAAAAACTCTAAAAGCTCTAAAGCTCTAAATTCAGTCACAAAACTTTAACTTTTAATCATTTGAATTCTATTTATTTACTTTCTTTCTTAGTTGTGTCTATCCTATTAATTTTACTTATTTTTCCTTGGTAGTATCATTAACATTCAAAAACTTTTGTGGAGGATTCAAGGTTTGATTTGGCATAGCACAACTGCCATGACTAGGTAAGAAACTTTTATCATCTCATAACACATGATTCTGATAACTTACTCATGAGTTTTAAAACTTATTTGTGAAGTATTTAATGATTTAATGATTGTTAGCGATAGATTAAATATTGATATCTTCTTCTAGGAATTCATATATCCCATCAAAGGATTGGATGAATTTAGCAAGGTATAGCAAAGAGTATATTGAAGGTGTTGAATCATTTCTAGATTTTTCTTACTCTTATGGAGATCCTCAAGGAGAGGAAATTCAGTGTCCATGTGCAAAATGTTGTAATATTCGTTGGACTCGAAGGAATGTAGTGTATGATCATCTAATATGCTATGGATTTGTTAAAGGCTATACTAGATGGATCAATCACGGGGAATGGGATATCAAGTTGAATGTTAACGATGATATGGATTACTCGCGTGATGATATTGATGGGTTGTTGAATGATCAATTTAGAGATGTTGCACAGGCTGAAGGAGTTTATGATGGTCCAAATGAAGATGCCAAGAAATTCTATAACTTAGTTGAAGAGGCAAGCCAAGAATTATATCATGGTTGTACAGGATTCTCTAAATTATCATTCACACTTCGTTTATATTTGTTGAAGTGTCTACATGGATGGAGCAATGAATCATTCACTTCTCTTTTAGAGTTATTAAAAGAGGCGATGCCTGAGTTGAACATTCCTCCGTCTTACAATAAAACCAAGTCTATGGTTAAGAATCTTTATCTTGATTATGAGAAAATTGATGCATATCCCAATGATTGCATGTTGTTCAGGAATGATCATAAGGATGATGAATTTTGTCATACTTGTGGAGCTTCACGATATATTAAATCTCCTGAAGTTGATAGTGAGCTTGAGCTTTCAACAAAACAACATCGAGTTTCAACAAAGACTTTGAGACACTTTCCATTAATTCCTAGACTCAAAAGGCTATTTATGTCCTTAAAGACGGCAGATTCTTTGAGGTGGCATGACGAGAAGAGTTCTAAAGATGGAAAGTTAAGGCATCCCGCTGATGGTCTAGCATGGAAAGATTTTGATAGGTTGCATCCAGATTTCGCACTAGATTGTCGCAATGTGAGATTGGCTTGTCCAGTGATGGATTCAATACATTTCGAACCATGAGTATATCACAAAGCACATGGCCAGTTATGTTGATGGTGTATAATATGCCGCCTTGGATGTGCATGAAATCTGAATATTCTATACTTCCTTTACTTATACCTGGGCCGCGATCACCTGGAAATGACATTGATATTTACTTACAACCATTGATAGATGAGTTAAAATTATTGTGGGATTCTGGGGTTGAAACATATGATGCTTCAAGAAATCAAACTTTTCAAATGCGGGCAGCTATTATGTGGACAATCAATGACTTTCCTGCATAAGCTATGTTATGCGAAGTAATAACTAAGCCAAACATCGATTATGATATCTAATATGAGGTAAAGGTAAGGGTTAGTAAATTATACACACGCAGCCGGATCAAGGTGTGGGGTGAAATTCTCTAGATGCCGGATCAAGGATTTAGAGATACCTAACTTATCACTTTGCATGTAACACACTAGGAAAGGATTGCGATTACTAGGAATACTGCATTATGAGCTTGTGGGGAACACATCTACCCTAGTTAATTTTCTCATCTTGATAACAACCGAAATTGACTTTTGTTTATTGATTACACTACAAGAAAAAGGCTTATTTAAGACCAAGATTTAGGGACGAGTGAATTATCACGTCTCTAAAAGTGTATCTATTGGGACGAGATTATATTTCGGTCCTTATTTGAACATTTTATTGAGAAGGTATTAAATCTAGTCCTTAAAAAAATAATTTACTGGTCCCAAAATCTATTGAGGGCCTTGAACAGCAAAAAATTTCCGCCACTTTTGTACTAAAATATTTTTAAAATGAAAATTTTATTTTGTTCAAAACTTTAAGAGCTAAAAATTAAAGTATACGTACATAAGGGTATAAACATCGTCTCTTTTATCTCAAAACACAACAGCCCGTCGCCCTAGTTTGAGCTCTAAGATCACCATTCCAACTGATCAAGGTTGTCACTATGCCCTAATCTCAACTTTTTTTTTGCTTTAGCTTGATGTTTCTCTGCCCTAATTGCGTATTTTTGTTGTTATCGTTGCTGATCTACTCAAACAGAATTCCATCCAAGCTTTGTTCGAAACAAAAATCTAGGTTGGTTCCTCTTTCGATCGTGTTGTTGTTTCTTCTATATGTTATATTGATTTCGTTTTTTTCATTGTTGTATTCTAGCTATTCTTTTTGTTGTTGCTGCTTAATCTTGACGTTCCTCTACCCTAATCGCGTTTTATTTCTTGTATTACTGCTCTGCTCAAAATGAAATTTCACCCCAGCTTTTGCTCGAAATAGAATGTCAGGTTTGTTCCTCTTCCGATCGAGTTGTTATGTTTCTTCTATATGTACTGATGTCATTTTTTCATTGTTGTATTCAAGCTACTCTTTCTGTTCTTCCTGCTTAATCTTGACATTCCTCTGCCCTAATCGCGTTTTTGTTCTTGTATTGTTGTTGCTCTGTTCAAAACAGATTCCACCCCAGCTTGCACGAAACAGAATTACTGGTTGGTTCCTCTTTCGATCGAGTTGTTGTGTTTCTTCTATATGTTCTATTGATGTCATTTTTTCATTGTTTTATTCAAGCTGCTCTCTTTGTTCTTCCTCTTTTTTAACAATAAATGGGTTAATGGTTTCAAAATCTGGTCTTTTTTCAGTCATATAATGAAAATAGTCATATAACTTTAGGTGCAGTAATTTGAGTTCCTCATTTTGATATGAAGTCTGCGTTTGGCCTCCGACATTCTTCTTGTTAGCTACAAAACTAATGTGTCTATACCTAGTGGAGCAAAACTTTCGATTCATCTCAATCATAGTGCAAAAATGATCACCTTCATCAACAAATCTAACAAATCGACAACCTCGTTATGTGCAATATTTCTCTATATTTTACAACCTGAATTCCATTGATTGAGGAATAGTTGACCCTGAATATCTTTTGAAACATGTATTATTTGAAATTAGCTGCCACATCACCTATGAAAATATAGTATATTCAGTGGTATTATCTGAATGTTTTTCACCCGAATCAAGTCTTGCCGAGTTGAGCCTAAAATTTAACTTAATGTTAGGCTTCAAGGTACCATTGTATACTTATATTTGCGCAACTGCATATCTGATAATTTTGTTATTACTAGTTTTCTTGATTCTTTATTTATGTATTAGTTTGAGGATGAGATTATGTCATTCTTAACTTTAGGATAAGTTAGTTATGAGAAAAGACTTTTTAATCACAAACGACTACCAATAAGAATTTTTTTTAATCACAAGCGACTATTTTGTGCAAGTACAAAGCTATTGAAGATAACATATTTTAAAATAAGTAGTATTTTATGTTTCTTAGTGCAATCTGGTTATTTTTTGTTAAAAAATGCATTTCATTCAATTTTGGAATCCAAAAAGTCACATGTGATTTGAGTGAGCTGTACAATAAGCTTCCCTATTAGATAATTAGATACTCCATCTATCTTATCTTAAAATGAGTTAAATGGAACACCATGAATAATGCCTTTAAACAAATAGTATACATTTTAACCAGTGGTGTATCAATCATAACACACATTTCTGTTTTGTGCATCTAATTATAACAAGTTGTATATCCTCATGCCTTCTTTTCTTCATTCTTTCAGCTACCTTGTTCCTTTTTGCTCCTTAGTGAGAATGATTTTTTCCTCACTCCAAATTCTTGAAACTCAAGGATTTATATCAGTTATAGGGACAAAATATGCATTTATGGACACTAAATCTATTAAAATAAAGCCCTAAATGAGTCCAAATCTTGCACTCATCAATCACCAGGCTTTCATTTCTTCATTCTTTAGCTCGCTTTGTTCCTTTTTGCAAATTTGTGTCCATGCTTTGTTCCTCAATCCATATAACTGGAAATCAAGGGTTTTACATTAGTTATTTGCATAAAATAAGCATTTTAAGACACTAATTCATTGTAAAGAAAGCCCAAATTGAGTCCAATCCTCGAACTCATCATGCTCCGGTGTTGTTTGTTAGAAAGAAGGATAGGTCCTTTAGAATATGTATTGATTATCGCCAATTGAATAAGGTGACTATCAAGAACAAGTATCCACTTCCTACGATAATGACTTATTTTACCAACTTCAAGGGGCTAGTTATTTCTCCAAGATCAGGTTATCACCAATTGAGGGTGAGGGAAGTTGACATCCCAAAAATGGCCTTTCGAATGAGATATGGTCATTATGAGTTCTAAGTCATGTCATTTGGTTTAACGAGTCCTCCGACGGCTTTCATGGATCTTATGAATAGGGTGTTGTAACAGTATCTGGACATGTTCGTCATTGTGTTTATAGATGATATCTTGATATACTCAAGGAGTGAAAAAGAGCATGTTGGCCATTTGAGGGTTGTATTGCAAGTTCTTAAGAAACACCGACTTTTTGCAAGGTTTAGCAAATGTGAGTTTTGGCTAAGGTATGTGGCATTCCTAAGGCACATTGTGTCAAGCAAGGGTATAGAGGTAGATTCAAAGAAAACATATGCTGTCAAGACTTGGCCTAGACCTCTATCTCTGACTAATATTAGAAGCTTTTTGGATTTGACTGGTTATTATAGAAGATTTGTTGAGGAGTTTTCCTCCATTGCTTTTCCTTTGACGGATTCGACTCAAAAGAAGGCTAAATTTGCATGGTTGGAAAATTGTGAGTAAAGTTTTCAAGAATTGAAAAATAGGCTTACTTCCACTCCGGTGTTGACTTTACCGGAAGGTACGGATGGTTTTGTTGTTTATTGTGATGCCTCTAGAGTGGGTTTAGGGTGTGTCCTCATGCAACACGGTAAGGTGATTGCCTATGCTTCGTTACAACTCAAAGTTCATGAAAAGAACTATCCAACCCATGATCTTGAATTAGCGGCGGTGGTGTTTGCCTTGAAAATATGGAGAATTATCTATATAGGGTACATGTGGATTTTTTCACCTATCGCAAGAGTCTCCAATATGTATTTAGTCAAAAGGACTTGAACCTTCAGTAAAAAAGATGGTTAGAATTGTTGAAGGACTATCATATGAGTGGATGCTCTTAGTAGAATGTCCGTGGGTAGTGTGACTCATATAGAGGATGAAAAGAAGGAATTGGTTCTCGATGTGCATAGATTGGCCTGGCTAGGTGTTCATCTAGTGGATTCAACCAAGGGTGGTTTCACGGTCCACAATGGTTCTGAATCATTCTTTGTTATGGATGTTAAGGCAATACAAGACCTTGATCCCAGTTTAATTGAGTTGAAAGAATCAGTACTTCAAAAGTCTATTGAGGATTTCTCCCAAGGGGGAGATGGGGTGCATAGGTACTAAGGTCGTTTATGTGTTCCGGAAGTTGATGGCTTGAGAGAGCAAATTCTAGAAGAGACCTGTGGTTCTAGATATTATATTCATCCGGGAGCCACCAAGATGTGTCATGACCTACGGGAAGTCTATTGGTGGAATGGTATGAAGAGGCATATAGCAGGTTTTGTAGCCAAGTGTCCGAATTGCCAACAAGTTAAAGTCGAGCTCCAAAGACACGGAGGCTTGTCCTAATACATAGACATCCCCACTTGGAAGTGGGAAGATGTGAATATGGACTTTGTTGTGGGTTTTCCTCGTACTCGAAGGCAACATGATTCTATTAGGGTCAGTATTGACCGGATGACTAAATCAGCCGATTTCATTCCCGTCAAGGTTTCCTTTTCGGCGGAAGACTATGCCAAATTGTATATCAAGGAGATAGTGAAGTTACATCGGGTTCCTTTGTCTATTATTTCGGATCAATTTACTTCACACTTTTGGAAGGCATTCCAAAAAGGGATGGTACTAAGGTTAAGCTTAGCAGGGCTTTTCATCCCCAAACCGATGGGCAAGCGGAACGTAACATTCAAACCTTGGAGGATATGTTGAGAGCATATGTTATAGACTTCAAAGGTAATTGGGATGACCATCTACCATTGATAGAGTTTGCCTATAATAATAATTACCACTCAAGCATTGCCATGGCTCCTTTTGAAGCCTTGTATGGTAGCAGATG